TTTTGTTTGACTTCAGAACTCCAGCGTAGTTATCACCACTTTCTGTTTTATACATAACCTGCAAAATTTAAATAAATCATTTAATGCATTTTTCCTTTAGATATTATTGATTTATTACATGAAAGGAATTCCAGTGGACATGGACTAAAATGGGCAAACAATTACTACCTAACTTAATGTGATTTTTTTTTTAAAGCCAAGGTTGTAAACTGTCCGGAGGCATCCTCTGGAAGAAAGTCACAAGGTGAGTGTTATTTCAAACCCACAGTTTGAGGTGCCATAGTGAATTCATAATTTGTAAAACGGGTTCCACTAGACCTGATTTATATAAAACACAAATTTTTGTGCGCACAGTCCACTTCCTGTCTCTTATACACATCTCACACGGACATGGTAATATTGTACTTTTCAGACTGATTGTTTTAAGTTCACAAAGATTAGATGTGTACATCAGACCTCCGTTTGTAAGTCCTAATTTTAGAGGATTTGTTCAACCAATATAACCCTGGGTAATCAGAGTCTTAAACAAATACCAAGGTAAAGCTTAGTTAATGCAATAGTTTACATTTCATTTAAAAAAAAAAAACAAAATCAAAAAAAGTTTGAATTTTTTTTTGGCATGTATAATGTACTGTGTGTACGTATACATGCATGCATGTTTGTTTCATGAGAAAGATATATCATTGCTTATGAAGGCTTACATGTTGATTTAAATAGAAACAGTAGTAGGCCAGTAGTATATTTTTGTATAAACTATATAGTCCATTGTGCATGAAAAATATTATTTCTTGTATATTCCTCTAAAGATGGATGTTATCAGGAATATTCTTAATTCTGTCATAATTTTGTTTGACTTCAGAAATCCAGCATAGTTATCACCACTTTCTGTTTTATACATAACCTGCAAAATTTAAATAAATCATTTAATGCATTTTTCTTTAAATATTATTCATTTATTACATGAAAGGAATTCCAGTGGACATGGACTGAAATGGGCAAACAATTACTACATAACTAAATGTGATTTTTTTTTTTAGAGCCAAGGTTGTAAACTGTCCTGAGGCATCCTCTGGAAGGGAGTCACAAGGTGAGAGATATTTCAACCTATGGTTTATTACGATGCAGCAGTTTGAGGTGCCATTGTGAATTCATTATTTGTAGAACGGGTTGCACAAGACCTGATTTATACAAAACACATATTTTTGTGCCCACAGTCCTCTTCTATTTAAGTTCTGTTCACTTTATCAAATTTTATGTTACAATTTTATGTGATGTGCCTATATATGGGCATGATGATGTCATACATCCATAGACAGATCTCATTTATTTGTTGCATAAGATAATGTTGACATAACTTAATGTTAGTATAGCACAACTCATCAGAAAATCTAAACATCAAGCTATGAAGCCTATACATGCTCTTACTGTGTTTCTTTGAGTTATAGTCACTTTATGTGCACACGTATACTGTACAAATCATTTTCTTCAATAAGATGAAAATCGTCATTTGTATTGAGGCCCTTATCTTGTGATGGTGATGTCAAAGCATCACTCTTGTCATTAGTCTGAAAATTAAATAATGTACATCATTAGTGTTTTCATGCTGTGATATTCTAAACCTACCAAATCTTATGCTTTGTGCATGAGACTCGTGCATTTGAGCCTCATTTTTATCTCAAGCTCACACATGCATTTGTACTGGTTGTAAGTGCCAGTGAGTTTGTGATGTCATAATCTAGTCTGAAATTAAAGTTTTTGTTTAGGTTCACCCAATTCATTGGGATTCGGTTTTAGTGTCAAGCTTGATAGTGTCACAGAATAAATGATAGCTGTAGAACTGATTTGATCTTTAATTTTTAAACCAAACGTAATGGATGTTACTTACTTTGTTCTACACCTATAGTAAGCAAAGCTTAAATTTAGTATTATTATTAGTGAGTAATAGCAATGTCATAGCCCCACTGAACATTGCATCTGCCGTGGTTATTGACCGTATTGAAATCCAATTGTTGAACGTAACCTAATTTATCCAAGTACAAATATTTCAGTTACTGTTAAAGTTACCTTAAATTTGTTAGGTTTTTCTGCCTTAATTGGTGGTAAAGATTCTTGTTTATATCCATTATATTCTAAAGGATAAGTATTAGCTTTCTTGTTATCATCCATGGCCACATGTTTCAGACTTCTCTCAACATTTTTCTGGTCAATAGATGCATACAAGTTTACAGGATCATTCATATCTATTTCAAATACTGAATTTTTATACACAAAAGACTGGTCATATAAACTGACCATCTCCAATCTCAATAGTGGTAAGCTGATTTCTGTTTTTGTTGTCAATTCCTTCTTTTGGAGATTCACGCTCTTCATTTTTCCTTTTTTTAACATGTTTTTTTAAAAGTATTAATATTATAAATGCTGATATAAAGATTACACCAGCTACTACAATAATGGCAATTGTAGTAGTTTTT